ACAGTCAGGACCCGTTAAACGCAGTCAGGACTCTTTAAACGCACAGTCAGGACTCGTTAAACGCACAGTCAGGACTCGTTAAACGCACAGTCAGGACCCGTTAAACGCAGTCAGGACTCGTTAAACGCACAGTCAGGACTCGTTAAACGCACAGTCAGGACTCGTTAAACGCACAGTCAGGACTCGTTAAACGCACAGTCAGGACTCGTTAAACGCACAGTCAGGACTCGTTAAATGCACAGTCAGGACTCGTTAAACGCACAGTCAGGACTTGTTTTCCTCTCATGTTTTAACGAGTTCGTTCAGAAAACCTGTAAACACAGGCTTCCTGCTCAGGTCTCAAGCTTACAGACAACTCTGACTTTAGATTTAGTGTTTTACACATGGAGGTGAGTGCAGAAAGATTATAACTGTTTGTGTTCTCAGCAGGGTTATTAAAGTTCACTAAAACTAACTAAATAATGAAAACTGAAATTGAAAAAATGTTTTAGTTAACTGAAATAAATAAAAACTGTAATAAAATGAAAAAACAATAACTAAAACTGTACACAGTAAAAAACAAAGTGTCATTTTAACACCTATAGAGTTGAATTTAACTCTGTTTCATACAATATTTCTCCCCACTCAATATTAGTGTAAAAAGTACTCTATAGCCAGTGTCAACTTCTCAGAGTTAATTTGACTCATTTTAGTGTCAAAAGCAACAATGTAAAGAGTGAAAATATTTCACACTATAGTTTGTTTACACTCTGCAGAGTAATATTATTTTTCTGGAGTTAGACTAAATTTACTATAAAAAGCAYCATTTTTTGTGTGATACTCCTATTTTTTGTTTTCCATTTTACACCGTAAGAGTCAGAGTACACAGAGTTATGCACTCTAACCAAGAGTTAAAATCAACTCTTGAAGTGTTGTATTAACACTGTGCGTCGCTGAACAGCGCAACAGGGACAACTTTCACACACCAGGAAGTACCTCTCACTCATGGTGTCAATTTATGGCCAATAACACAAAACCTAAACTTAAACAACTAACCACCCTGAACAAGAAAACTGACCAAAAAACTCTTTTTTTTTTTACATTAATGAACATTTTTAACAGTCTTAGACAAGAAAACACATAATTTCTACAAGATTACCCAGCATCCCTTGCTGAGAAAATTCTGGTCTTTGAGGAAGAGGGCGGGACTTTTCAGAGTACTTCTTTCAACACTGTTAAGTGTTAATCAAGATTTAACAGTGGACGGAGCTTATAACACTGTCCAGAGTTGAGACRACACTGATGAAATTAACTCTGTGAATTAACACCAACACTGGGTGTTAATTTACTCAGAGAGTGTTAAAAATAACACTTGGGAGCTGAAATTAACTATGAAAAGTTTAACACTGAAACTTTAACACTCCAGTTTTTACTGTGTATAATCTTTTTACAAAAATAACTAATACTAACAGAAATTATAGATAGAATATTCTTAGTTTTAATGTTTGTCAGTTTATTTTGAGACATGTGGATCTTTTTTATTTTTTTAATCAAGTMGTTTCACATCAGCTGTGGTTTGTAACATCACATGATTACAGTCTGCTGCTCAGCATCACCTGCTAAATGATGACAACTTTTAGGAGAAAACAACAACGTCCACTTTGGGATTTCTTTGAATATAACAGAGAAAAATCAAATCCAGTGTTTTGTAGTGGAAACAGGTGATAAAACAGGTGATAAAACAGGTGATAAAACAGGTGATAAAACAGGTGATAAAACAGGTTGAATACTTCTGAAGATAAAAACTGCATGAATCAAACTCACACAAGATGCTAACTGTGACTATCTGACACGTTAGCTTCTCTCAGCAGCTCCATGAAAAACACACAACATGTTGGAGACAAACTGTTGTCATCATCCTGAAATAATCACCAAGTTTTTACTTGGTAAAACTGAGTTCTGCAGTAATTTTAGGAAGGTGTTGTTATAATGGACTGATTTAACTAGTGACTAGTTAAGYTTTAACTCACAGGAACATCACAAGCTGGAGGAGACGTTAACAGATATGTTTATTCAAACTATAAAATAACTAATACTAGAACTAATAAAAACTAAAATAAACTATAACTAAGCCTTAAAAATGTAATGATAACTAATATAAATACTATCAAATCCACTGTAAAAACTAATTAAAACTAACCAGTGTTGTATAAAGTACCTCAAAGTGATACTTGAGTAAAAGTACAAGTATCTTATCATATAAATACTTTGGTAAAAGTTAAAGTCTTCTCTAAAAATAATACTTGAGTAAAAGTCTTAAAGTATCTGATATTTTTTGTACTTATGTATCAAATGTAAATTT